CCTGCATGGCACCTCAGCGCACTTTCAATGGGTCGTTCCCATGTGCCGCCGTCTTGGACAAAAGCCCCCTCAGCAGTTCCATGCATTTAGCTGTGGAGAATTACTGCCCCCCTACACCCAGCGTAAAAACAATTTCTTCAGCTACCTCCTGGGGTTCAAGTGGTTGTCTATGCTGCCCAGTTTGTGGCCCCAAATTGACCAAAACTCTCTGTCCTTCACACCCAGCAGTTAAGCAGTTTCCAGTCAAGCCAAAAAGTGTTGCAAGTCCTCCCCCCCCAGAGGGCTGCCCTAGACCAATTGCATATACCTGCAAATGAGAAAAATGCAAAAGACAGCAGGAGACTTTAAATCTCAGCGTATGAATTATCCATGGTGTTTTCAGGAGTCCCGAAGTCTGGAACAGGGAACCTGAAACTCACATCAGCAGCAAAGTCCCAGAGCAAATTTCTTGGGACATTAACAGCGGTATCATTTGTTTGGTTCATGCAGCTGTGTACAGTAAAAGCATTTTACTTTCTTTTAAATAATGTTATAGACACGTGATGCTGATATAAAAACTTTCTATGCATCACAAGATGACTAACGGGGTAAAATGATACTCTGAAGCTTCACTGTCCTTCCCTTTGGACTGAATGGTGCTTCGTGTTTCAGGCTGCAGTTTCTGGCAGTATATTGTCTAGTTTCAGATCTTTGACCCACAGGATTTTGTGCTGGGGGAGCAGTCCCTGGTGCTGCTGGGAGTTCTCTCTCCCACCCAAATCCTGGGAGCCATATATTTTTTGGTATCATGCATCTTGGCTAGACGTCTTGCCTTTGCAATCCCAGCCTTCCTCTTTCCTGGTTCACTAGGATGCAATGTGAACAAGTCAGTGTTTTTCACCATACTTCACCATCACATGCTCGTAAAAATCTTAGTAAGACGGACTGCTGTGCATCCACTGTTGCTTTAATCAAGTCCTGTACTGTGTATAATTGTGATTGTGGTTATTAAGAGTAACTAAATACCAAAGAAATGACCAGTTTCTTCCAGGCCTGTAACCTACATCCACATGAAGCTAATGACATCCCGAAGTGTTGCTCATTTCACCCTCGCCGTGTTGGGGATTGAGTGGCAGTTGGCCTGGCTAACAGAGAAGGCCGCCTTGGTGTGAAAGGCAGTGAAATGGGAAATGTCGGCCTGTCCAGCTTCCCAGTCTGCCCTGGGCATGGATGTGTCACTCCCCATCACCGCTTTCATTAATGATAAATTCACCTCTACGAGTTCCGCTGCGTGGTGCCTCACATTGCACCCGGAGGGATGACAGAAATTAATGTTAGCGTCATGCAAAGACCCCCCCCGTCACACAAGAGATGGTCTGGAACAGGGGGAAATAGTCACATGGCCTGTGAGGTCAGCACCTGAGGAGTCGGTCATGGGTCCTAGCTGGGAGACGGAGTCCACGGACACGAGCGGAATCCCTCTTGAGGAACCACACTGTAGCTTCATGACATCACTGCCAGTGTTTCTCACCATTCCGCCCCCCGCAGGCCTGGTACCCCTTCACTGGGTTCGACGGAGGCCAAAGGTATATCGATCAGAGCACTTGATGAGAAACATTAGAAGGCAGCATTTTTGCACCAAATCCTGATGGTGCCATAAAATTTTTCATCTCAGCTAAATGCCAAACTTGTAATCAGCTTTTAAGAAGTCTCTTTTAGGAAGACCTTCAAGGCCAAACTAAGCCTTCCACAGCAGTTGAACATTTAACGGTAAATATCAATTCAAGTTTGGAAGCATAAATTCTCCCAGTGCTGCTCCTGCAAAGCTCTTGTTCTGCTAGCGTAGGAGGTTAAGAATGGTGCTTTGGCACTGGATTGTTCCTCTAAAGCAGTGGAGTTTTTGGAGCAGAAGTAATGGGTCTGGCGAAGAGTGTTGGTGCAGAGATACCCTGCGGTTGTTACCTTCGTTGTGGAACCGAGGCAGTGTCCATGTTGGCGATGGGGGGGAGCTGATCTCAGATCAGATGCTTTTTCCCTTCCTCATCCACACTTTGAGGGGCTGGTTTGCAGGGTGTGGTCCCTAACATAGGATGCACCTCGTGTACCTGTGTGGTTCTCTGTTGCCTTTGACTACGAGAGCTTCCTGCTTCTGTTAGACTCCCGTGTATCTGTCCTATAGCTGGCCCAAGGTGGCGATCCAGAGAGCATGGCTGCCAGGGCGCTGGGGATACCGGGCTGCTCCGGAAGGTTCTGCTGGCTGCCAAGCAGTGTGGGCGTGTACACCTCAAAGTAAACCAGGAAGGTCTTCCTGTGCTGCATTTCATAATAATGCTTTTATTAATGACCTACCCCCTTGTGGTATTATCACCCCTGATATGGCACTACCACCCCCGCCCCCGCACACAGACACACACACACAGTCCTGTGATGCTGATCCCCCCCCCCCAATTTAAACCCAGAATGGAGCCCTACCTGTGACCATGTCTTATTCCGCTTGGCAGACCAGAGGTGCATAAATGAAGCTGAACGCGGCTGTGTGTGCGCTGGGGTGTGTAAGGCGGAATGCAGTGGGGGTGCACCAGTGACAGACAAAGGCACATTGTTGTGTCCCTGTAAGGCAGTAGGACGTACTCGGGGCAGTAGGATGTACTCGGGGCAGTAGGACGTACTCGGGGCAGTAGGATGTACTCGGGGCAGTAGGACGTACTCGGGGCAGTAGGACGTACTCAGGGATTATCCAGATGTCCTCCTCAGTCTGCAGCCCCGTTTAACTCCGGCTGCAGCTGTCTGGAGCAAAATCCGTCACACACGTGAATCCAGGCCGCTGACCCTCCCATCGCTGCATAGTGCGGAGTCAGGACTGAAAAAAAACAGCTAATTAAACAGTACAGAACCTTTGAATCTACCCCCCCAACACACATCCCAGCAACAGCTCCCGCTCTGCTCAGACCGCGTGCTCTCTGATTGGCACAGTGGGTTAGATCCAATTACTTATGTTTCGTGGCAGGCAGATAATGTAATAATGAAAAATTTAAGGGACTCGCCCGGCCGAGAGCACTTCAGCGGGCCCTCGTGATCAGCGTGGGGGCCAGTTAATTACCGCGTAGCGCGCCTCGCGGAGTCTGGGCGTGCATAACCAAACATGCCACCGTCGTGAAGGACGCCTAACCCCCACATGCCCCAACAGGCTCTGAACACGAGCACCGATGCTGTCTGGTGCCTCACTCTGACCGCTGGTGTGCACATTTAGCGGGACGGGGGGGGTTTGAGAATGTTCCGGCACGCCTTGTGTTTGGATGTTTGAATACATCACACCATTAAGAATGTTGACAAAAATATCGATATTCCAGGTATTCCAGTTACAGATGCAGGTGCTGTCTGTAGGGGTCACTGCCCTGACAAAGGTTAATTGACTGAATGCAAGTGGGTATTAAAACTGCCGGTTTATGGAATGCCAGCCTTGTTACTGCCCATCTCACTATAATATTGGCATCACCATGGTTATGCACTGGAGGGACAAAGTGTTGATAAAATTATTTTTCCACCAGGTGGCGCTAAACTCAATGCCCCATTCTGTACCAGGGGATTTTCTCAGCATAACTGTACAATTTCATGTACAGGAGATGCAGGAAATTGCAGTATTTTACGGCAAACATCCATTTATGGTTATGGAATATATTCAATGTACTGAACTTTGAAAAGGCCTGCTATTATAACAAAAGCATTTATTAGAAAAGATCTGCTGCTTTGAAAACAACCAAAACCATGAATATGAATTTGTTTCTCTTTGAATGTTTTGGTTTTTCCGAACATGAAAGGTTTGGATTTGAATTGTGGGGAAATTTAAGCCATAAGTTATCGGAGATTAGTGTGAAGCGCTGTTCCTGAGAGGTCCTCCTGTGTTACAGCAGATCGAATTGTGTTTATCTCATTCTGAAGAAGTTTGACTACAGAACTGCTTATGCATGGCAATAAGTAAGCACTTTGGCAGCCATTTTGACAAGTGGAATTTAAGTTGACTCTGTGTTTATGAAGCCATTGGACCATTCCGGTCTACCATGGGCGTCAGCAGCTCAATAATAATTGACGACACTGTTTCTGTATGCCTGGATTGCTGTGTAATAAGCTTTGAATTAGCTGCTAAGTGCTAAAGATCACCATAGCGAGCGCCGGGCAGGTGAGCTGCGGAGGGTGACCGTGTCGTTTGTGATAATTGCCCGTCACCGCTGGGGGCCACGGGGCGTGTCTGAGGGGGTATGGCAGCATAAGGCAGGGGAGAAGATACAGCTGTTCATTAAATGGGCCGCGACCGGGAGATTGGACCTGGAGCGGGACCGGATCGTCTGTATTCCAGAGCGCCAAGCTGATATCATCAGAGGCTTGGGGGGGGGGAGAACAGCTCATTAAATGCTAAATGACATTCTCTCAGGGACAAACATCTTTAATTACTGTGAATTTAAATGTTTACTTAAAGTGTAGAATGTTGCTGCTGTCCCCTGTACCCCCCCCCCCCCCCCCGCCGGGGGGGGGGGGGGGGGGGGG